CTAGTTACAAAGTTCGTAATTTTTGGGTAATGTCGGCGATGTAGTCGCAAAAAGTGACAGAAGACAGTCAAAACAAAGAAAACATAAAGGTTTCTTCATATTGTAATGCAACAGATGGCTTTCTTTCCCACCGTGCAATTTGAGCCATAAGCTGAAAAATGTGTCTGAATAGTACTTTGGAAACGTTGCCATGGAAACTGCTGTTGACGAAATGACACCTATTTTTGGATGACCAGTGATTATATAATTCAATTGTTCAAATGGCCTTGGTCAGTCTTTTTCTTGTATTCTTTCAAAGTTACAAACCACAAAAAAAATGAAAACTGGTACTAGTCACCTTAAAACATGCGTCCATCTTTTGAGATTCTATTTACAAGTGAGTGATGACTTTGCGTATTTCCTTCGTCACCCTTCGCACTAACAAAGATATCGATGCAACGATTCTTCGTATTCTTTACTTTCTATTTAGATTATGGCCTCAAAGTTGATCAGGGCGAAGCGTGAACCAGTTATCTTGCAAAGAAAGCAGGGGCAAACTATGCCCTAGATTAAGCCGCAGGTCGACAACAAGGCGAGATCCTTATCCTATGCGTGTCTTATTCTATGTTGCTTACGACTGAACACTGTTGGACTATCGTCCCCGATAGGCGTGCACTTGTGAAAAACGAAGGAAGATTTAAACAAAAACTGGATACTTCTAAAGAAGCAAAAATACTTAAAAAATGCGTAATTTCTCAAACAATTGTCTTGAAGTTTCTGAAGTTTATTTCCTCTGTTGTAGAGTACCTCATGGTGTTTCCGGAGCCGCGTTCTACAGAAAATTATGCCATGAAGAATCCAGCCATAGCCTCAGATCTCAGCCAGCTGTCAGTGTGTTTTTTTATCAAACTTGTTGCAGACCAAGCGTGTCAGTCTGTGTTTAGCTATGCCACTCAACAAGAAGACAATAGCTTTGCCGTCGTAATTAATCCAACCCTGGCTCTGTTAGTTGATAATAATGCATTCAGGTAATGCTTCATGGATTTTTGAAAACTGGGTTGAGGTAGTTTTTATTGGAGCCACGATAAGTCATAATACAGGATATATTACGATCTTCTTTTTAGACGCGGACGCTTGAAGGAGAAGAAAGGAATTTAAACATACACACAGACAGACTAACTTGCTGACTGGCTGCATGATAGACTGATTGAATGGGCGACACACTATCTTGCTGACTGACAAACTCTCTGACTGAAAAACGACTAGGTGACAGACTGACTGGCTGACAGACTTATTGGCTGACAACCTGACTGACTGGCTGACAACTTGACTGNAGCAGAAAACATTTCGAACTTAACTAAAAAATCATATATAACTCTGCTACATATTGACTTAGTTTCAATCTGCATCGGAAGACAAGGACGGCACAATCTTAAGATTAGATCTTGATGAAAGTCTTATCAGTATAGCTAATGGTTTCACGTAAAAATAAAAGAATAATAATAAAAATAAAAAAACAGAGCATTTTATAATTGCGCGGGAGGAATACTTGGCTTTCACGTGCAAAAATAAGGGCCTAATAAATGTGTTTTGTACAAACGGCAACTCAGAAAGAGGACTTCGATCGAAAATTAGCTAGAATTTCGCGAATGGCTGTATGTGTTTCTCGTCTCTTACGGTGCCACAGCTCAACCTCCGCATGAGGTCTATGAGCACCGTTTGATTGGGGTTTCTGTTTTAAGACCAAGCTGATTTCACGTTGTAGTCTTCCAGAGGACAGTTAAGAACTGTACTACACTTAAAAACAAACTTTATCGTCGCCGTCGTAGCTTGCTTAAGGTCCCTACAATTCATTCAAGCCAAAACAATGTTTTTGTGCACTTGGTCTAAACAACAAGCATTCGATCAAAACAGCAGTTCTTAAACGCTGCCAAAATGTTCAAAGCCCGACTAAAAATGAAGGCAGCTAGGAAAAAGTTACGTTACAAACTGAAGGTTACAAACTCAAGTTACGGTAATAAACTCAAATTAATCCGTTCCACACTGGATTCGAAGTAGGAATATTTTCTTTATTGTCAAGAGGATGGTCTCCAAGGAAACTGTACATAAACACCTTAAAACCGACTTTGTGAATTGACCGAGTGAAAATCGAAAAATGTAGCACATGTTTGAAGAATTGAAAACCTTCATATTTTTCCCAGAGACACCTTATAGTAAAGATAGAAACATGGTAAGGTTTTCTTTCCTCAGACTTTCCTCTTTATTCTAGAAAATTCAGGAAAACGGAAGCGAGCGTTAGTAGCCGTAAAATGGCGGAAATCTGTGCCCCGAGTAGAGGCAAATGAACTTTTCTCATGAAAAGCCCATAAGAAGGCAAGCTCCTATCATTTTATAAATTTGTATAGGAGGAATAGAAGTATGGTTTTAGTCTAAAACAGGACCATTTCATCTCATATTGAGCTCACGGAACGCTTTTGAAAATCACCAATATTTTTAAACCCAAATGTCGCATTTCTTGGCAAATTTTCAATTATCATTTGCCCCATGCGGTATAGCTCAGAATCAGTTCAGATTAAGCTCATGATAAGTGGAAATAGTGTCGTTTTCGAGGATATAAAAATTAGTTGCATTTCCGCATGGAAAAACCAGGTTGAACTTTGTGGAAATCACAACATCGGTATTTAAAACGTCACGACATAATCTAATTTGTATCCCTGTGATTAACTGCGGAATTCCACGCACATTTCAGCTGTTAGCACCGTGTTCGATTAGGATATCAATACAATAAGCTAGCCTTGCATAGGTAACGACGACAAATTGGTTTTCATTCCTGCTTTCGTTTCAAATTCTCATCCATTTCCTTATGGTGAAATTGATTACAATACCACATTCGGTAAGCTAGCGGAAGGCGTCTGTTTGTCTTGGCATATTCGAACACTACATTATTAAGAAGTTCTAAGGTAAATTTTAGCTTCATTGTGGACTGGAAAGGGGACAATTCAATAATTTATACTGGTAGGTCAAATGTTCACTGCCGGAGACGCGCGTTGGAGATGGGAAGCAATCTGATACGAGTGTAGATGAAACATGCTTAATATTTGTCACGCAATGCTGAAATTATTTCAATCTTGTTCCCATCTTGTAATTTTACGGCCAAGAATATCGGAATTAAGGTTTTTAACAAACTTTTCAATGCGATCATTTTTTTTATCACTGAGTCACCGACGTGAGACTTTTAAACTTCGCAGCGGGGATCTTATGCAGAGTTGGATGTAACTGAGTGATATCAGATACTTAGAAGAGCCAATAAGTAGAACACAAAACAACAAATAGCTGTAGCAGGGCAAAGGAAAGAGAGTAAAAAACTATGATAAAAAAAAAAGGTTAGGGAAAGGATCAAAAGGCATTGTAAAGATGAAACAGAGGCAATGTACAAAATGATTAAAATAGGAGAAGAATACCAGGGTGAACCAGAACTGAGGATAAAACAAACGTTGTTGTGTCAGTGCTCTGCTTATTGGCTCTTCTAAGTACGTAAATCAACAGGATATTCGGACTTGACTAAGCTTTGAGCTCGAGTCTCGAGTTTTCCTTTCCCTAATTGTATTTTCTTCTACAGATTACTATGAATGTCTCAATCTTTTTCCGCATATTTTACAAAACAGCGGTTGTTTCGTGTGTTTTTAGAAATTTTGGCGTTAAAAATTGATCCCCTCACGCATGCCTTATTTGGCCGCCGTGTTCCACCACGTGTCCACAGTAAAATAAACGCTGTAACATAGTCTGACGTATCGAGTCGCAAACCTTCGTCTTAGCAAAGTGGCGCATTTTAACGCTTACATTCAGCTGATAAACTGAGATTTACGCGTTATATTTCTTGTTTTCGCCTGTTAAGGAACTGTATAGCTGGTACATGTAGTTTGACTTAAAAAATTGCTGACGCTATCAACCAACTGCTTTTTGTCTAGTTCATTTTTAAGGTTTGCTTTGGAGGAAACATCCAAATTACTATTGAGCCATCATTGTGTACTTAACAAATGAAACCTGTTGCCGTGAATCTATAACGCAGTATATTAGAACAAGAAAGTGGCACATGATGCGCAACTGGGTGTTTCACTGATGTTCTTGATCCGTTACTGAACGTACTCACGGCAACATAGAATGGATTGGCTTTCTATAGTCAAGACGTAAAAAAATTTATTAACGGTGAAGTCATTTATTATCTATCCTCTAACATGCCACGAGTAAGAACCAATCAAATTTCGTGTATAGTTCAGATTATATAAATCTCTTCGTCCGCATATATATGACGTGCGCAATTGCATTTTGTGGCAGTCTCAATACACTTCAGCCGCGCGTTTATCTCGCTAAATTTTCCTACAGCCAATTGAAAAAAGAGAAGCGTAGAAATTGTTACCAGTACACCCGTGTCTTCTTCTTCTTCCGGTATTTCTGTGAGTCAAAATAACAGTGGTGGTCGTTGAAGAGAAAACAACGATCTTCCTGGAATACTTAAGCAAATGGGCCGTGAACAGTTATACTTGCATCAACTTAAATATTCAAAACCCTTCTTTGTGTCTTTGATTTCTATCAAGTTAAGACTTCCATGAGAACTTGACTATTTTAACCTTTGTTTTTATTTTGGATTTTGTAAACTAATAGCCCATTTCCGAATTATCCTTGGCCTCATTTTCAAAACGAGTCCTAGTGCTCATCCTTTCATATGATTATAAGTTCTCGTTCACATACAAATGAAACTCATTTTCACAAGAATGGTTGAGCACCAGGCCTCGTTTTGAAAATGAGGCCAAGGGTAATTCGGAAATGGGCTATTCAAAGCCCTCATCTCTAGGAGATGCAATAATGCTAACTCTAGTTTGGGTCAAAACTGCCCCTTTATCCCGCTTGTAGATTTTCTTCGCAATTTCTAGAAACAATCCCTCAGGCAGGTTGGCAGATCTCTGCGATATAAGTTCTACAATGTTCTTGTAACTTTCCTCTTCGAAGTCCTTGTAGACTTGCTTCAAGTTGAGCTCATGATATAACTTTTTCACCTTCTCGGATGAGACAGAATCTTTTATAGCGTAGTTCTCCTGAGAAAAGTTAGCAGAATAAAAGAGGTAAATTCCTGTCTCTTATCACAAGTGTCTGCCGTGAAGAATGAAAATCTCTAAGAGAGTAAGCGGGGAATAGGGGTACACTTCCTGTTCTGATTGCAATAAATTTTAGCTCATCCACATAAAAATGAAAAAAAATTATAACACCTTCTGCCTGAAGTGACAATTAGTGACTTGGGGAACCAAGTAGTTAATTGATAAAAGTACTTAAAAGGATACTATAATATTGCAGGTCAAAAAATGAGTAAACTGTAGGTTGGAAGCAGAAACCATACGAAACACGTTTAGCTGCTACCTTGCTTTGTAAGGTAAGTTCTCGCAGTATCCACGGGCTTCCACTGGACACTGGCTGCCCCAGATAGAATACTGCCCCCCCTCCCATGGCTTACATTTACCTACAACCCAGTCACGGGTTCCCATTCCAGTAGCCCGTCGTCAATGTTTACATCAGTGGGAGGCAAAAAAAAAATGAGGAAGGGAGGGGTGGGGAAGGGAGAGGACTAGTGACCAATAATACCTACTTATTGAACTCCTTTTGAACTCTTCAATATACATAGCTACAATATACTATATACTAGCTTGTATCAGTTTCTGTACCCTTTGGCACTTCTGGGCGGAGAGAAGCTATGGTATGTGACAGTCAAATTCTTGCTCAAGAACACACAAAAAAAAATATGCCACCCTGCCTCTGTAACCTGGATCTTTTGACCCTTTCACTCCCATCAATGACCATGCAAGATAGAATTTCACATTACAATAGACCGAATGCAAATATGGCGTCCGATTTGAAATACAAAAGGATTATTACATGTGTGAGAGGCTAGTGAGTCCAGAACAGTGGCAACCCAAATTTGACGCCATATTTGTATTCCGTGTATAATGATACAATATCAATCAGACAAGTGATGACAATCAAGAAAAATATCAGTTGGAGTAATTAGTTGATCCAATACCAAATTCTCCAAATTAACTTTATAAGAATTGTATAGCAGACAGTAAGAAGAATTTTTAATGAAATCATGAGAGTGAAGGGGTTAAAACAGAGCTCAGTGCTCCAATCATTGGGCCAGTTTATCTCCCCTTGTGGTAATAAAACCATCCACAAATGTAGAAAATATCGGAAACTGGGACGGAGGGGGGAGGGGGGAGGTGGAGGGGGGAGTGAGATGAGCTGGAACCACTGTTCCATTTAATAGATATTTAGTGTGTTAAATGCCTCGCCTAGATAGATAGATAGATAGATAGATAGCTTTTATTTTAAGACGATAAGTGTTAAAGCTACATGAACTTGTGGGGTCGTTTGCAATTAACTAATCACTAAATGTACTAAAAACTAAAACCTAGGGGTACGTAGAGAACGTCTTAACTTAAACCAGTTGTGCTTACGAATGTGGAATTGTGAACATAAATTTAAATATCTACAAAGTTGTCTTTTTTAATATTACAAGTGGATGCAATATCTGAATTTGAAAAAATTCCCCCATCACTAATAAAATATCTTTGGCATTTTCATGAGATGTTGTGTCCTTTATACCAGCCTAAAAATACAGAAAGTTAATCAATGAAATTTGGAAAGAGCAACGATATCAGAAATCGCACAACAATACTAATAATAATAATATTTAATAATAATTTATTGGATTATAGTGCGCTTTCTAACATACCGGGTGATCAAAAGCGCATAATGATTGGATCCTCATCATATACATTGCCAAAGCAACTGCCAAGTAAAAGGAATAATATGCTGTCTTGTATTTCACGATGGTCTCGTATCTGAAACAAAAATGAGCTGCTTAGTAACCTAGCCTGGTCTCACGCAATGCGATGACTCGTATTTTCTATCGCGAAGCAAAAGAAGAAAGGGAACATGGGCTGCGAAAAGGAAAAAGGAAAACAGGGACCCTCGACTAAATACCCTCGACCTCGACATAAGACCCTCGACCCTCGATGGCTCAACCAAAAGTTAGACTCCATGAAAAGTTCATGTTTTCCATTTTCGCAGTTCATCATTTTGTTATGTCCTAATAAGGAAGGTAATCTTGACACAATAAAGCGTAAGATGTGGCACTCATACCCAAACTCTATGTCAAAATTATACGAATGCCGATTGAGGCAGGGATACCAATTACGGATTTTGAATCAATCTTTGTGATATTAAAGAATATCATGGAGGAGATGATTACACGGAAACAAACAGCATTGTTTAAGAGCAATTTCCTTATTCTTCTAGTGTTAAACTGTAAATATAAATGATGGAGGAAGACCATCATTAAGAAGCCTTGTGGTTTGTCACCTTTTTCGCTATCATGATTACTCCTCTTGAATTTTCTGGATGTCTCTCAATTCCAACTATCTGTCCTGAGTTTGTTTGTATTGTATTAAATATATTAATCAGTAGTTTCACTTGCAACCTTTGTGGCTTCCTTTGGTATTGATGTATGGGATCCCATGAAAAAGGCTTCCCACTCCACTGATGAGCAATCTCGTGATCAGTGCGTACAAAAGGAAAAAAAGTGTACGCAAGTGTGGGGATGAGTGTGTAAAATGAACATAAAAGTTAGGTGTTAAAATTGAGGGAGCGACTTCTGTAACAACAGCACGCTCCTAAATTCAATTCAAAGTTGTAAAAGATATATATGTTATGAAGATAACAAATAAAATCAAAATAAAATAAAATGAAGTTAAAATATTGTATCAAAGTAACTATTAGTACACGTAGGGGGGAATACTAAGGGTTTGGGGTTAAAATTATATATAATAGTTTTGATTAAAGTTATGGCTAGTGATAGACTAGGGTTTAGGTTAGTTTTAGTGGGGGTTAGTTTTAATTAGGGTTATATTAGATTAGGGTTAGGGTAAGATTAGGGTTTATGGGTTAGATTAGGGTTTGGTTAGGATCTGGGTTTGGGTCTGGGTTAGGGTTAGGGTTAGTTAGGGTTAGTAATAGGTATGCTTAGGGATTGTATGGGGTCTCTGTTTTAAGGTTGCAGGGAGGGAAAGGGTTATTGATATGATAGGGAAGGGGAGAGGATTATTGAAAGGATAGGAAGAGGGAATTTATAGGGGTATGTGGCTGCAGAAAAGGGAAGGATGTATGTAGAGAAGGAGTCATCTTTATTACCATTACCCTTTTGATAGCTGGTTGTATGGGTTTTTGGGGGATGTGATGAGACACTGTGTTAGGCGTTTTGATTATAGAAGCTATATACAGATATAATGGTAGTGTTAACACTTTTCCTGTGAGGAGTTATTTTTAAAAAATGTCTTAGAGTGAAGGGTGGGGGTCGGGGTTTATATTAATTTTTAGAGTGGGAATAAAAAGAATATATGTAAATTAGATGGAACTTTGTGTTATAAGAAGGGTCTGTAAAGAGGAAAGAGATATAAATATTAATTATAATAGAAGATATTTCTATATTATTTATATTCTTTTATTAAAAGGAGTTGGATTGAGGAGTGCTGAATGAAGAAATGAAGTGTTTATGAAAGTTGTTAAAAGATGGAGAGAAATGGAATTCATCCGGCCGCGTGAGGAGAGAAGGATGCATCGTCACCAAGGCTCCTAATGGTTGTGAGTCGTCAGAGGCAAAGCACAACCGAGCGAGGATGTTTCTAACCTGGTACCCATCTTGAACTTAGAAAAATTTCAGGTGTTAAAATGTATACATACATTTTTGTTTTTTTTACATACATTTTTTTTTTATTGTGTTTTGGGATAAAAGTACAATAACATGCCGGCGGGTAGCTAAGCTAATCTAGGCGAGTCATGTTTACAGGAAATAGATGCAACTAAATACAGCTAAAAGTAACAAGAGAACTAAAAAGCTAGAATTGACAACAATGATTAGAGACTACTGATAAACTAATGATATTACTAATAATAAATGACAACAGTCTTGACGGGAGATCTCTGATGCATTAAACGATATAATTGAATACATATCGACTGATCAATCAAGAGGATGATAAACTCAACTTAACTTTCTGAACGATTTCTGGAAGATCAATGTAACAATTTTCTGAAGCTAGAATCTGAAAGTGTTTGTTTTATTTTCCTCTTTAAGACATTTTTTGAAAGTTTTCTAAAAGATACGGGCATTTCATTCCATATTTTTCTTCTGATTCTAGAAAATGAATTCACTTGAATTTAGAGTCTGGAACTTTGTACGTAAAAGTTATTAGAGGCAGAGGATCGAGTATTATAGGAATTAATATCAGAGACATCTCGAAAAACATTTTGAATGTTTCCAGGAGCATTACTGTATCTTATTTTAAACATAAGGTTAGCTAAATGCTCGTAATACAAAAATTTTAACGGTAAGACACCGGCGTCGATAAATAAAGGAATTGCATGCTGATTTCGCTCTGAGAAGTAGATAAAGGGAAGAGCTCGCTTTTGAAGCTTGATAAGCTTTTCAGGGCACGATTTATATGCTTCACCCCAGGCCGTCGAACCATAGGTTAAATAAGGAGCAACAAGGGATCGATAAATAGTTAGAAGAGTATGTCTTGGCAGAAAATGCCGTAGTTTACAGATCAATCCTACAGTTCGACTCATTTTAATAGCCTCGTGGTCAATATGATGTTTCCAGGAGAGGTTATTGTCAATTATTATACCTAGAGATCTCACGAGTTTTTACAATCTAGAGCCACATTCTTATTTTGATCGTTGTCGGATACCATTATTTTGGGGTGATAGGTAAGTTTTCTCTGAGTTAGTCTAAAAATTAAGAAAGTTGTTTTTTTAATATTTAAGGTTAATTTATTGGCAGTTAACCAATCGAACAACTTACAGAGTTCCTGATTTACAGTCCACTCAAGGAACTTGAAGTTTTTGTCAGCATATAAAGCGTTCGTGTCATCAGCAAATAAAAATAGTTTAAGTTTTTCAGAAGATTCTTGGATATCGTTGATATAGATTAAAAAAAGTATTGGGCCTAGGAAAGAACCTTGCGGCACACCGCAAGTGGTATTTTTTCGTTAAGATATAGAGGAAGGAATTTGTGTCGTTTGAGTTCGACCTTCTAAGTAAGATGAGAACCATTTATTTATAACGCCGCGAAAATCATGCGAAATTGCGTCGCCCCGATCATTCTCCCGTTCTCTCGCTCGAGTGAGTATGTAGATGTGACTCTTTCGACTATTTGCCAGAAACCCGACCTATGCTGTTGGTTTTTGTAGAGGAAATAAAAATTAACAATGGTTTTAACTGTTAGCTAGAAATGGAGATTCTATGATCAATGAATCAATGAATCAGTGTTTTTGTAATAAATAGGGAAAAAGTCTTCAAGTGTAAGAATGACAGTTCATCTCCATCAATGTGACACTTTTGAACCATTGGCTGACACTGTTGTGTGATCTATTTCCCAGGACATATCAAACTGCAACTGGACAAGCATTAGACCTCATCACCAAGCCGGGCGAAGATTTTGAGAATTTTACCGTAGAAAGGTATAATGCTGTAGCCACTATTTGACCAAATTAAGGACTCAATGGCAAAATTGCAAACAGTGCTAACACTGGAAACTTTCAGAGATTAAACAAAATCCTACGTTGACACAAAGATGACGAAAACAAGATTAGTTACAAGAGTTATTGTCACCAATTTGTCATTTGCAAAAATACAGCCAAAGGACAAATGAACGAAGAATATAATTCAGTGTTTACTACGCAGATGGTTGCTTGAGAATGAACATTTTATAATTAGTGCTGGTTACATGCAACGAAATGTTTTAAAATCAAAGATGAAAACAGCAGTGTTGCAGTTAATGTTGAAGGCTTCCTAACAATGCACACTCTTTTACTTAAGTGTCCACACTGCAAAATCAATTTGTTCGTTGTAATTTAGTCAATTATTTTGCGTGTTTAAATTAGGCCATTTTTTTGTCATGGCATCCTTCAAGTTCCATTTGTTGACTTAATTTGTATTTTTTGCCTAAAATACCATCTTCAGTTGCCAGTTTAGTTTCACAAGATGTTTCATTGATGTTCGCTACTTCCTTTGTGAGTGGAGTTTAATACTTTGAATTGAAAAAAACTGTGGTTTTGCCCACACATGGATTGGATTGGATTGGTGAATGGATTGGTAGGAAGCTCATATTACTCTAATGGGGAGAAAGGAGGGACCCATCCCACACCTCCCTTANACACTAAATATCTATTAAAGGGAACAGTGGTTCCAGCTCATCCCCCTGCCCCCTCCGTCCCAGTTTCCAATATTTTCTACATTTGTGGATGGTTTTATTACCACAAGGGGAGATAAACTGGCCCAATGATTGGAGCACTGAGCTCTGTTTTAACCCCTTCACTCTCAAGATTTTATAAATATTCTCCTTACTGTCTGTTATACAATTCTTATAAAGTTAGTTTGAAGAATTTGGTATTGGATCAACTATTTACTCCAATTGATATTTTTCTTGATTGTCATTACTTTTCTGATTGATATTGTATCATTTTACACCGAATGCAAATATGGCGTCAAATTTGGGTTGCCACTGTTCTGGACTCACTAGCCTCTCACACATGTAATAATCCTTTTGTATTTCAAATCGGACGCCATCTTTGCATCCGGTGTATTGTAATGTTAAAGTATATCTTGCATGGTCACTGATGGGAGTGAAAGGGTCAAAAGATCCATGTAACAGAGCCACGGTGGCATATTTTTTTTGTGTGTTCTTGAGCAGGAATTTGACTGTCACATACCATAGCTTCTCTCCGCCCAGAAGTGCCGAAGGGTACAGAAACTGATACAAGCTACAGCCTTTACCCTATTGCTACATGTTTTTGAGAGCCAGGAAAGAAAGCCAACTGTCTTTGTAGCACATTAAATCCAAGAGAATCATTTGTGTTTTCTTTGTTGCGACTGTCTTCTACGGCCAACCTTATAAGGTACCAAATTTAAAATTGTGCTCAACAAATTATATTTTCTTGCCTGGGCCAAAGCAGGCAATCTTGAGTGGGTTCGATGGGTCCATCTTGCCCGCTTTGGTAGACAATCGGGACAGAGGTTTCGCTTTATATTTCCCACGGTCTCTGTCGGCTATATAATAATAATAATAATAATCTACTTTATGAAAAACTAGATCATTGGATAATGATATTCAAGACTTTTTATTGGCTTAACCATTATGGTATATGAGCCAATATACCATAGTCTAATATTTGTACATTGTAATATCCGGCTTCTTCTTACAAAATAAAGTCGAGAAGATTTGTAGAATATCTTAAGGGCATTTTTTTTTTTTAAATAAAACAATTATTCCACTCGCGCTTGTTGGATATGAGATGATTATAACCAACTCGGCGCTACGCGCCTCGTTAGCTATCTATCATCTCATATCCAACGCACGCTCGTGGGATAATTGTTAAATCTTGACCCTACGCTTGGTTAATAATGCATATGAAAAGAGGTAATACGATGGAGTCTCTTAAATTGCTGCAAGATCTTTGCATGATGGGGAAAATGGCCACCTGACTAGTAACAGGGGGACGTGGGTTCAAATCCCGCTCAGGGCAAATTTTCTTTTCCAACATTTATTCTATTTAAATATGATTAATTGGGTTGTACAGGGTTAGACTTTCCCTCGTATAAAGAATATAAATATATATATATATATATATATATAAATATTATGAGAGGAAAAAAGGACGTAACTACATTTCCCGACAAGCCTGTTTCGTGAATCGCTTCACTCTTCAGGGGTTTAATGAAAGAATATTCATGTGACTATCGTTTATATACTAGGAAAATTTGCATAATGCGCGGTAAACTTAAAAACTTTAAAGTTCAGTTGTTGCGTAGCAACGCTTTGTTTCTGTGTCGGCATGAAGATACGAGTTCGTTACGCTTATTTAGTGATGAGAGGTCGGGTCGGTAAATTATCAGGAATTTTTCTTTTAGGCAGAGGTTGCATCTTTTATTGGAGCTGTTGTAGGGAGAGTTAGATGATAAGATGCGCCATGAGATAGAATAGTCAATGTTGTCGTTCTTGAGTGTCCAGATGTGTTTGCTAAGTTCGGTAGAGTTTTTGTGCTTGGCGTGGCGGAATGATGCGGTGTGATTTCTGTGTCTTGTTTTGAAGTCGGTTTCTGTGAGTCCGATGTATGTTTCAGAGGTGTTGTTGTCGTTCTGGAGTTCAGTAGGAGTTTAATAAGTAGGTGTTATTGGTCGCTAGTCCTCTCCTTTCCCCCACCCCTCCCCTCCTTTTTTTTTTCACCTCCCACTGATCTAAACATTGACGACGGTCTACTGGAATGGGAACCCGTGGCTGGGTTGTAGGTGATTGTAAGCCATGGGAGGGGGGGGAGGCAGTATTCTATCTGGGGGCAGCCAGTTTCCAGTGGAAGCCCGTGGATACTCCGAGAACTTACCTTACAAAGCGAGGTAGCAGCTAAACGTGTTTTGTATGGTTTCTGCGTCCAACCTACAGTTTACCCATTTTTTGACCTGCAATATTATGGTATCCTTTTAAGTACTTTTATCAATTGGCAACTTGGTTCCCCAAGTCACTAATTGTCACTTCAGGCGGAAGGTGCTCTAATTTTGTTCATTTTTATGTGGATGAGCTAAAATTTACTGCAATCAGAACAGAAAGATTACCCCTATTCGCCGCTTACCCTCTTAGAGATTTTCATTCTTCACAGCAGACACTTGTGATAAGAAATAGGAATTTAACTCTTTTATTCTGCTAACTTTTCCCAGGAGAACTACGGTATAAAAGATTCTGCCTCATCCGAGAAGGTAAAAAAGTTATATCATGATCGAGTTCAACTTGAAGCAGGTCTACAAAGACTTCGGAGAGGAAAGTTACAAGAACATTGTAGAACTTATATCGCAGAAATCTGCCAAACTGCCTGAAGGATAGTTTCTAGAATTTGTGAAGAAAATCTACAAGCGGGATAAAGGAGCAGTTTTGACCCAAACTAGAGTTAGCATTATTGCATCTCCTAGAGATGAGGACTTTGAATAGCCCATTTCCAAATTACCCTGGGCCTCATTTTCAAAACGAGGTCTGGTGCTCAACCATTCTTGTGAAAATGAGTTTCATTTGCATGTGAATGAAAACTTATAATCATGAAAGTACGAGCACCAGGACTCGTTTTGAAAATGAGGCCAAGGATAATTCAGAAATGGGCTATTAGTTTACGAAAACGAAAATAAAAACAGTTGAAATACTCAAGTTCTTATGGAAGTCTTAACTTGATAGAAATCAAAGACACAAAGAAGGGTTTTGATTATTTAAGCTGATGCAAGTATAACTGTTCACGGCCCATTTGCTTAAGTATTCCAGGAAGATCGTTGTTTTCTCTTGAACGACCACCACTGTTATTTTGACTCAGAGAAATATCCGCGCGGCTGAAGTGTAATAAGACTGCCACAAAATGCAATTGCGCACGTCATATATATGCGGACGAAGAGATTTATATCATGTGAACTATACACGAAATTTGATTAGTTCTTACCCGTGGCCTATTAGAGGATAGATGATAAATGACGTCACCGTTAATAAAATTTTTTACGTCTTCACTATAGAAAGCAAATGGATTCTATGTTGCCGTGAGTCTGTTCAGCAACTGATCAAGAACACGTCAAAATGTGGTAAGAACATCAGTGAAACACCCAGTTGAGCATCGTGTGCAACTTTCTTGTTCTGATATACTAGGTTCTAGATTCACGGCAACGTGGTTTCATTTGTTAAGTACACAATGATGGCTCAATAGTAATTTGGATGTTTCCTCCAAAGCAAACCTTAAAAATGAACTAGACAAAAAGCAGGTGGTTGATAGCGTCAGCCATTTTTTAAGTCAAACTACATGTACCAGCTATACAGTTCCTTGACACGCGAAAACAAGAAATATAACGTGTAAATCTCAGTTTATAAGCTGAATGTAAGCGTTAAAATGCGCCACTTTGCTAAGACGAAGGTTTACGACTCGATATGTCAAACTATGTTACAGCGTGTTTTTTACTGTGGACACGTGGTGGAACACGGCGGCCAAATAAGGCATGCGTGAGGGGATCAATTTTTAACGCCAAAATTTCTAAAAACACACGAAACAACCGCTGTTTTATAAAATATGCGAAAAAAGATTGAGACATTCATAGTAATCTGTAAAAGAAAATAAAAGTAGGGAAAGGAAAACTCGAGACTCGAGCTCAAAGCTTAGTCAAGTCCGAATATCCTGTTGATTTACGTACTTTGAAGAGCCAATAAGCAGAGCACTGACACAACAACGTTTGTTTTATCCTCAGTTCTGGTTCACCCTGGTATTCTTCTCCTACTTTAATCATTTTGTAAATTGCCTCTGTTTCATCTTTACAATGTCTTTTGATCCTTTCCTTGACCTTTTTTTTTTATCATAGTTTTTTACTCTCTTTCCTTTGCCCAGCTACAACTATTTGTTGTTTTGTGTTCTACTTATTGGCTCTTCTAAGTATCTGATATCACTCAGTTACATTCAACTCTGCATAAGATCTCCGCTGCGAAGTTTAAAAGTCTCACAGCGATGACTCACTGATAAAAAAAAATCATCACATTGAAAAGTTTGTTAAAAACTTTAATTCCGGATATAAGTGGCCGTAACATTACAAGATGGGAACAAGATTGAAATAATTTCAGCATTGCGTGACAAATAATAAGTATGTTTGATCTACACTGGTATCAGATTGCTTCCCATCTTTAACACGCGTCTCCGGCATTGAACATTTGACCTACCAGTATAAATGATTGAGTTGTCCCCTTACGAGTCCACAATAAAGCTAAAATTTACCTTAGAACTTCTTAATACTTTAATGTGTTCGACTATGATGAGACAAACAGACGCCTTCCGCTAGCTTACAGAATGTGGTATTGTAAACAATTTCACTATAAGGAAATCGATGAGAATTTGAAACGAAAGCAGGAATGAAAACCAATTTGTCGTCGTTACCTATGCAAGGCTAGCTTATTGTATCGATTTCCTAATCAAGCATGGTTCTAGCAACTGAAATGTGCGTGGAATTCCGAAGTTAACCACAGTGGGCCTAATTAGATTATGTCGTGACGTATTAAAATACCGATGTTGTAATTTTCACAAAGGTCAACCTGGTTTTTCCATGCGGAAATGCAACTAATTTTTATATCCTCGAAAACGATACTATTTCCACTTATCATGAGCTTAATCTGAACCGCTTCTGAGTTATACCGCATGGGGCAAATGATAATTGAAAATTTGCCAAGAAATGCGACATTTGGGTTTTAAGATATTGGTAAATTTCAAAAGCGTTCCGTGAGGTCAATATGAGATGAAATGGTCCTGTTTTAGACTAAAACCATACCTCTATTCCGCCTCTACAAATTTATAAAATTGATAGGAGTTTGGCTTCTTTTGCACTTTTCATGAGCAAAGTTCATTTGCCTCTACTTGGGGCACTGATTTCCGCCATTTTACGGCTGCCAACGCTCGTTTCAGTTTTCGTGAATTTTCTAGGATAAAGAGGGAAGTCTGGGAAAAAGAAACCTTACCACGCTTCTATCTTTACTGTAAGGTGTTTCTCGGCAAAATATGAAGGTTTTCAATTTTCCAAACATGTGCCACATTTTTCGATTTTCACTCGGTCAATAAACTGTACATAAACACCTTAAAAGTCGCTTTTAAGGTGTTTATGTACAGTTTCCTT